TAAATTATCAAGGTTGCTTACGCTACATCAAAGACCCAAAAGTATACTCGTGGCAAGTTCGAATGAACAAAAGACACAATCCCAAAGAATATACATAAAAGACGATTAACCACTTGAAAATAGACTATGCGATAAGTATGAGTATCACAAGATAGACAAAATACTACCCTAAGAACTTATGTGGAGATATAATGAAACAAAATAAAGAAAGGAATATTTCCATGAGAAAAAAAAACAAATCTAAAGTAAAGCCTTTCTAGCGGATAAAAGTAGGGTGTATTCAAAATTGATGCTTATATATATATATTTGCAACTGTTTTTCCTCTAAACTCCAGGTTTTGAATATAGGACCCTCATCAAGTTTAAATTATTAAAAAAAATAAGAGGGGAGCTTAAGGATGGTAGATTAATAACTAAGGTCAGAATATAGAGCGAGACGTTCAAATTACATATTGGTGGACCACGGGGAAAAACCATAAAGGCTTTTATAAGAAAGTTCCTATTAGTATAATAAAGTATATAAAATGTAATATTGATTGTAACTCTGCTAAAAGGTGGCATAAGGTGCAATATTGAGCAAATATAAACAGTTGTCAACCAAACAATGACATTTTAATATATAACCACTTAAAGCTCATACATTTGTTACTGGTTTATCAGAAACTGTATGGAATGAAGAAGGCTGCTGTAGTTCAGAATCCAATCGGCTGACCAGTTCAAAGATCGCATCAGCGCTTCCAAGTGGTAGATCGGTCTCCTCTGCAAGATTAGATCCTAAGAGAACTTTGTCTTTCCTATTGTCAATAGATGGAAGGCCTTCTGCGTCGAAGGAGTATTCTGATTGGAGACTGATCAGCTTAGTGTTATCGGTCTCCATAGAGACGACCGTAGTATCATAATCATCTTCATCATAGGAGGCAGCAAGAGTGAGGAGAGTGATGGATGGATCGTCAGAACGGAGCAAGTTTTCAGAGACTGGAGAGATTAGGGGAAACGATAGAGAGATAGGAACACAAGCCAAGGAGAGAGGGAGAAGTATAGAGAGAAGTGGTGATGTAACAAGATCTGGAGCAAGCCAAACATCACCAGGAGAGTTGGTAGGTCGATCAGCACTGGGCAAGGACACTAGGCCCTGAGCAACCAGAATCAAAGTGTCGACCAGAAGCACTTTAAGGTCATCTAACACTTCTGTAGTAAATGAGACACCTTCTACTGGAGAATTGGATGGCGATAAATTGAGGGAACGCGCCTAAAATAGGAAACGATATTTGACTATGCGTTAATCGTGTAAGATAAGTAATTGGTAACACTTTTCGAAGTTACATTTAAATGATGAATTCACAAGACCTATGAGACGATATTTTTTCATAGAAAAAGTAATAGTGTAAGGCGCTTTTAGAAGATAAAAAAGTAATCAATCAAGTAAGGTTCACGGAAAATGGAAAAACAAAAATAAATTAAGTGACAGGTATAAAAACAGTTATTATTAGTTAGCAAGAAACAGGGCACGATTAAACGCAGTATAGGTGATTACAAACATGGGCCAGATAGGGGAAGATAAAATAAAATTTGGAAAATGGAAACTCAATGACCTTCTAAGTAATAACTTCGTGAGTCAACAAATGACTTAAGCTTTGAATGAAAACAAGATAGTATGGGTGGAAATGATCAAAGTTAAATATACGCTAAATGAAGAGTCAAGAAGACCATTTACAGATTTAAAAAAACTAACTTTCCGAAGCAGCTTATCCTTTTCTCCAATCAGATGATACAGGCAGGAGCAAAGGTATTCCACTTGCAAAAATTCTTTAATGTTGGAGGACGTTTGTGTTATTTTTGCCATATAACGACTGTATGATTTGCGTATAATAGACAAAGCCATATGCAAAAACTCTGAAGTCATGCTGAGATAAAAGCCTTACGAAATCATTTTAAGCAAACGCTCACTTTTATCGCGAAGATCTGATGAGACACAAAACACATCCAATCTACTTAATCTCACATATATTTTGCCCTGCGAAACGAATAGACGCTGTTTAACGTGATCTGAATTCGAAACATCTACGCTAATAATTCGTCTAATAGTAGCATCAATGAGTTCATGCAAATTATTTGGTTCATTAATAGTCTCATTTTGTTTTAGGTAATGTGGAGTATGGTCCAAAGCAGAAAAAGACATAGGCTTGTGTCTTTTTAATTCGTGCTGAACAGGAATCTAAATTATGATAACGAATATCAAATTAAACTACCCGCACCGCAAAACAAGTCGAATCTTTTTCGTTAGGATCAATGGAGGTTAGTCCTTTTGATAAGAGATGAGATTCTCCTATTAAAGAAGCATCGCGCGAATTATTTCCGATATTATTCTAAATATTATGTAAGATAAATAAGATAGCAACTTCTTTGTGAATACTAGAATCCGATGAAGGAGTGATTGATGTACTTTGTTCTCCTGAGGATAAAAGACCAAGTCTAGCGAGACGCTTTTGCCGAATCTATAGGTTAAAAATAAGACAAGATAGAAAGACAGTAAATACCTCATCGGCAGTTCGACCTGACATTTTACTCGGATGCCTTCATCAATTAGCACACCCAAATATTGCGCTCAATGCTTTTAAATTTAC